CAGCTTTACTGCTCATCAAAAAGAAAACATCAGTAGTTCTTCTGGATGGTTCTTCTTTAGTGAAACGTTTCGTCTCTCCTCCAAGAGACTTCTTCAGTCTGAAGAGTTTCAGGTGAACTCAGCCTTATAAGCTCCGCCTCCACATGGACAAACAGGTTAGTCACATGCAAAAGAGGACCATCGACTAACAATAGGCTTGATTAGCTCTATTGTTCATAGAGGGTCATGTGTCCCATCACCTGACTTACTGGTTTGGTTGCTGGTTAGTGGACACAACGACACACAACAGAACTCACGTTTTTTACCAGTAGATCACAGATGCTTTAACTTTTGTGACTTTTTCACGGACTAGTACTAGCAGCTAACGCTAAAAACAAAAGCAGTAAGCAGGAAGTGGAAGGGAGGAGCGTAGCAAGAATTTTACCAGAAATATGTCATTAATGACCGTGGCATTTAGGTGTTAAAATGAGCAGAGCGCCTGGTATTTACGTGCCTTGAGCCATGACAACCATGATAAACTTTCAGTTCTGCAAAAATGAAAAGGCGGTCTGTTTTCTGTTTTTGGAATAGAAAATAAAATCAAAAAACCGTCCGTTTTTTTGATTTTCATTATTTGTTTTTAAAATAAAAATCCAATGACCAAAATGTACAGTGACCGATGGAGGACCATCGGTCACTGCACTCAGGTGTAAAAGTGCAGGAAGCCCCTCCTCCTGGGTTTGTTTATTGTAACCTGAAGGGATCCACTGCAGGCTGAGAGTTAAAGGACGTGTGAGTGAGTGAGTGTGAAACACCTGAGCTGTACCTGTTGACCTCTGAGCTCCAGCTTTAGTCTGCTGCACTAACACCTGTCTGTGCTTCTGACTCCTCCTCTTCCTCACTGCTCCCTGACTCATGCTAGCCAACGAAGACTCCCTTTCGAAGGTATGTCATACAGACTGTTTGTTCTTGTCTTCTCCCCCTCCATCTTCTTTTTTTTTCTTTTCTGTTTTTTTTTTTTTCTGTTTTCCGTCTTTGTCGTCTGTCTCATTTCACCCAGGTCGCCCACCCAAATACAGCAGCGTGTCGGAGCTGGGCAGCCTCACCCCGACCTCCCCCTCCAGCCCCGTCCGTCCCCTCCCCCTGCCCAGCCCCAGCTCTGGGGATGTAAGTAACGCTGGGGGAGACGGACAGCCCGTCACACACGGTGCTGCTGGCCCAGCAGCGCTGTCACTCATCCACACACACATCCATGAGTTTGTTGTGTCCATGTGTTAGTCCTGACTCTTACAAAGTGAACAGTTCATCAGTAACACACACATCCTAACACACACGCACGCTCAGCGTAGCTTTTGTTCAGTGCATTTTCAGCTTGGAAACGGGTATCAAAAAACAAGAAATGAGTGGATGTTTGATTTTTGTTTTAAAAATGTGAGCCATCATATTGAAATGAGGATTGAGTCAAATTTGGTCAAAATGATCAAACTACATTTTAGATTCCTGCTTTAAAAGCTACATTTTGATACCTGGATCATCCTGATATCATGAGTTTATCCAGAAATGTGATTTAATTTGTCTTGTTCTTTCTGATAATACATTACTGTTTGGTCTGAATCCTAATTTTATGTAAATTTATTGAGTATTTTTAATGTCAATATAAAGAGGAAACCTCAAATATAATTTGTATATTAAGATTTCACAGTTGGAAAAAAAGAAAAACGTTGCTAACTCAGGGAAAAATTCAAAAATTTAAAGTGTTTTAACTCAAAATCAGTTTTTTTTTTGTTGCTGCTGCTCAAAAAAATGCTTTAACATTTTATTAGGATTATATTTTAGACAGTTCATTCAAATAATACATTTATAAGGCATTAATTCATTGTATTTTGACAAAATTCAATTTTTACACACGTTTAAATCAAAACCCTATATCTGTCTATTTTTCCACTTTTGGACTTAATGTTTAACATTTAGTTAGTTTATTCATTTCTTTAAAAACAACAACATAAATTCAACAAACAACAAAAATACAAATCATAAATATAATGAAAGGTAGCAGAAGATGAATAAAATTATTATATCTGCCCCTTTTTCTCAAATAAATAAATTCAATCAAAAATAATCTACAGTTTTCAAAAAAAGAAAAAAATAATAAAGGTTCAACTCCTTGAACAACAGAGGACAACAGAGCTGCTTCATGGAAGAAGAACCTCAGCTTAGACTGTTAGCCTTTGTGCTAGCACTGACACTATATAGCCTTATATGTATTAGCTTGGTGCTAGCATGACAAACAAACAAGCTAACCTGTTGTCCTCCATCCATATTTTCAGTTACAGACTGAGTCATTTTTGTGTTCCCCTCTCTGTCATGTGGATGGAGGACCTCAGTGA